AAGTCTGCTTGGAATGAAGAAATTAATAAATAATATTTTTAAGAAATTTACATTATTTTAAGATTAGTAATTGGTTAAAATTGAAGAGATTAATATAATGATAAATGATATTAATTTCTATCTATAAAATTCATGATATCTATAAAATTCTTAAAATATAGAGAAAATTAAGAAAATTAGATAATAAATAAAATTAGAAATTTAGAATTCTAAATATATATTAGCTTCTTACGAAATTATATAAGATTGAATAGAAAGAATTCACTCTAATAGAAAAGATTTTTTCTAAATATATGGATATATTTCGTATTTTGATTAGTAAATATATATTGCTTTTTCCTTATATAGAGCAAGATCGTTATTATTATTTCGATAAATGATTTTTTTCATGCTTCTTGAGAGGCCGGAGTTGAGAGAAAATTTATTCTAAGATGGGTCAAGGTAATCTGATTTCTTAAGATCGTTTTTCTTTTCCAGCTATATCTAGAATTCTACAACAAGCGACGACTTTCTTAATCTCAAATCCATTAGATCTTGGATATGTTAATGAAGACATGAGTTCTTAAATATAATAATGAATTTAGTTCTGTTATTGTTTTCATATAAAAGCTCAAATAATTTTCTTCCATACGAGATGAGTCATTTAGCTATCGGATCTTTCTTCGTGTCAGAATATCTCTAAATAAGAAAACGAGATTCTTATATTTTCTTATTTTCTTTTATTCTAGAATATATCTGAATAAGAAAACGAGATTCTGGCATTTTCTTATTTTGGAATCTAATTAAAGAATATGAAGAGAGGGATGATCATTGAAATTTTTTGCACGACGTAGGGGCTAGCTTACGCTCATTTATATTATACAGATCGAAATAAGAAAATAAGATTCTTGGACGAAGGAATTTTGATTTTCTTATTTTAAGAATGCTCGATATTTCAATGAGAATAGGTGTCGCTTCGATTCCCGAATATAGAATTTATTTTCTAAATCCAATATTTTTTTAATAATGTTATCATTATATCTAATAGAAAGATTAAGAAATCCATAATATTTGATATGATTTCTTGTCATGACGTATTTTTCATTATCTCTATGACGAATTCAGAATAATTGAATTGGTCAATTCGCGCAAAATATATGAACTGAATAGAAATCATTTCAGAAGAATTAGGAAATTCATATTATTTATAATGAATTCTTATCATTGAGATTTTTTCCAGCGCCCCTATCTATATCTCTCATGTTGATTTCTCGAGCGTTGAGATTGGTCTTTTCTATAGTTATAATGATATTCTTATAAAATAATCAGAATGTCAATTTCTATTATAATTCTCGATATATATTCAGAATCGTATTCGAATTCATTTTTCAATTTGCTTATATTTAGATTTTGGATCAATTTCTCGTCTCTTCTAATCTAATAAAGAAATCTCATCTGTCATATTTCCAATTCAAAAGATAAATTCACGTCTTTTAATTTATCTTGCGCATCTAAATATTCGGAAAATCTTCACGAATGGGCTTGGCAATTTGGCTCGCTTGATTGATCTTTGAAGAATTCATAATATTTCATGCCCTATATGGCGCCCAATTTATAAATTGAAATATAATATGAAATCCTGAAGTTTAAGTCTCAAATATGAGTATCGAAATTATCGTCAGTTGTTATTTAGATCTGAATCTAGATATTTTCATGGTCCATGATCTTTATATATCTTCGATATATATATATATTCCGATAATAAAGGATTTATTGACGAATAATACGTTGTCATTTATAAAAATAGAAAAAAATCATCTCGAAAATATCGGTTCCCTTATTGGGATATCAAATCCTCATTATCAAATATCAGATAATGATTTTTTATTCTTTCTTGATATGATATCCCTCGAATTCGAGGGCGATCAATATTTCAATATCTATGATTTTTATAAGAATAAGACCGGTAGAAGATCCCGTCTTAGATAGAATACGGCGTTTTCTGTCTTCTTCGCACATTTATTTCTCAAGATCGTAATAGGCAGGGCAGGGCATAATCAGAGGCAGAATAGAAAATGAATCAAAGGTCAGGTCATTAATGAATTAATTAGAAATTAAAAATTTCATTTTTATAGATTTTCTAATTTCTAGCCAAATTTTTCTATCTTTTATTATTTACTCCAAACCTTCATAAAAAAAAATCAAATTATCAAATCTATTCTGTTATTAATAATAAATCGAATACGATATTCTCTCGTAATAATACGGCGAGAATAGAATATATAGAAGGCATAAAAACAATATAGAAGGCCAAGCATATTATGGAATTTAATCATATATCTCAAGCACTATCAAATTTTGACATCATATTATAAAATCATATCAATATCTTTATACTCTAAAATTATCTTTAATAATTATTCCATATTTCGAAAATAAATAAATTTTTCTAAAATCAATATATAGAAAATTATAGATCAAATTTCATACTAATAATTCCTTATCTTCAATTTTATATTAATAAAATATTTTCATGAAAATTCAAATCGTAGAAATTTATATTATTTTAAATTTTTCTTTATTAATTTTAATAATTATAAATTCAAAAGAATTCCGATTATGCAAACCAAAAAATATTTCATAATTTAATTTAATGCCAGAAATCAAATAAATCAACAAAATTCTTATTCTATTAATATATGCAGAAAATCATTAAAATAGAGAAAGAAAATAGAAATATCTCTAATATATTTCAGAATTTTTTTCCAAAATTTATGATATAAAGAAAATATCGAAATTTTTAGAGAAATTTCATTTAAAAGATATATAGAATCTATAACGAGAATATCTTCAAGTAATAGAATATATAACCAATAGACACCAAAGAATCCCCATCGCCTACGCGCATTTCGAGTGCAATATAACACAAGACTATTGGAGGTATTTAGATCGCTATATTACCCTAAGACTTCGGGCTGGAGGGGTGCTATAAGATAATTAATTAATATATTTTGAAACGGATATTTGATAAGACCAAGGAAATTTCGATAAAATTCTTAAATTTCATTTAGATAGGCCTCTTTTTATCTAGAGAATTCTGAACCTCACAATAAATTCCGTCCATTTGGGAGGTTCAAGGATTTTAGGTCGAGGGCATGCCTTCTGGTTTTGACGAGGTTTCCTTGCGAATTGGTTTTCGGAGCAGATTCCAGCGATTTAAAAGTTGTTATAGCTAGTCATATAGGGACGAATTCCTCGTACTTGGAATGGCTGATCGATGTTTTTTCACCGGCTTCAGCGGGGTGCGCGACGGCGGCGGAATCAAAGCGCCCTGATTCAAAGTTGCCCAGCTCGGATGGTAAACTTCTTAATTTCCAAAGTGGCGTGCATTCAGCTTCACCACCCGGCTTCACAGAGGGCACGGGAAGGAACCCTAGAAACCACTCCAGATGCGTCTAATTACCCATATTGTTCACGAGGCCCTCTTGTTGAGCTCCTCCCTCTGGGCGTCTGCTTTCTTGGAGAGTGTTAATAATGAAGACGACTTCAACTCCGAGAAGACCGGTGCAAAACACTGCCAGGCCCAGCGCGATCCACAGAAAGCTCCAGGCAGTTGAGAGGCTTCCCTCTGCTTTGTCCTTTCAAAGAGCTCCCAGGTTTTATGATGAAGGTAGGTGGGGTGATCCTAAATAGTCCGTCCCTATATAAGGGATCCTTAATCCTAATAGCCCCTAGATAAGGGATCCCTAATCCTAATAGTCCCTATATAAGGGATCCTCAATCCTAATAGCCCCTAGATAAGGGATCCCTAATCCTAATAGTCCCTATATAAGGGATCCTCAATCCTACCTGGCTTCATCCCCACCTTTTGAGGCCCCACCGACCTTCAGGGCTCCAGGTTTTTCGAGGGCCACGGCGCAACTTGCGAGACGTTCTCCGGCTTCGCCGCGCACGCGAATCCAGCAGGGGCGAGTGGAGACGTTTCCCCATTTCTTCGCGATGTCCTCCACCGTCCAAACATCTCCCGAGTAGGGCCCGTCGGAGCTGTATTGCGCTGAGGAAGCCACCGGCACTCCATACTCATAGGCGCAGCTGATCTGCTTCTTTCCTTCGTCGGCATCGAGGCTGTCGAAGCTCTCCTTTTGCAAGGAGACAAGGGCCCAGGGTGTGTAGCTGAATGTGCGACGCCGGCGGGTGTCGCCCTTCAGGCTCCGGGCGGGAGCCGCACCAACCATCTGCCGGCTCAACGAGGCTCTGGGCCGAGTCTCCTGAAGGATGGGCCGAAGCAAGAGTCGGTCCTATGTGCTTTATACGGGGCTGCATAAGGCTTATAGAGGTGTACGAGTGTTTATCGGGCCCTATGGGGCTAATAATCAACCCTAACCCTGAACCCTGAACCCTGAACCCTGAACCCTAAACCCTAAACCCTAAACCCTGAACCCTGAACCCTAAACCCTAAACCCTAAACCCTAAACCTATAGTGAATTCGGCAGCAGGGTTCTCCTCTTGGTCGACATCCATCAGCTCCTCGTCTTCCTCATCATCCTCATCCTCTTCCTTCGTGTCGACATGCTTAGGGTTTAGGGTTTAGGGCTTTTAGGGTTTAGGGTTTTAGGGTTCAGGGTTTTAGGGATTTAGGCTTTAGCGTTTAGGGCTGACTGGCTGTTTCGAAGGGTCCTTTTAACAGCCTACCGGTGACGATACTACCTCCGTTGGCTTCGGGCCCGCGGGCCGCCAAGCCCATTTTAAACCAAGCAGATCCACGCAGAAAGGTGCAGGGGTTGGGGAGGGGTGGGTGGAGGGGCTGAAGTTGCAGGGGTGGTGGGGAGGGGGAGAGGTGGAAGGGGTGGTGGGGAGGGGGAGGGGGTGGAGGGATCGGGTGGAGGCGTGAGAGGTTGGAGGGGTGGTGGAGGGCTGGGTGGAGGGGTAGGGAGTGCGCTTTAAACTTTGAAGTTGTGAGCTCCGGTGACTTGCCGCCACTTATTCAACAAGCTCCACCGTAGCATATACTTTTGGGCCCCAAATCGGCGCAAACATCTATTACGAGCCCGCTGATCCCTAAACCCTAAGCCTTCAACCCTGAACCTTAAACCCTAAACCCTAAACCAAACCCTAGACCCTAAACCCTATACCCTATACCCTAAACCTCTCTTTCATATAAATATAAACCCTAATGAGATTCGTCGGCATTAGCCTCCCGTCCTTGAGCAGATTCGTCGGCATTAGTCACTTTGACCCCCCGTCCTTAAGAAGATTCGTCGGCATTAGTCACTTTGACCCCTCGTCCTTTAAGCAGATTCGTCGGCATTAGTC